CATCAGTTAATATTTCCAGTCCATGCCTTCAACCCCAAACATTTAAAAAATTTCACCTAAAGTAACAAAACCACATACTAAAACTCTTTCACACTTGCAAAAAAAAAATCCCCAAACGGCCCAATTCTTTTTTATCCTGATTATATTGGGACTTTTTCTTGCCAATCCCTCAGTAAAAATTGTACCAATTTGGGGAGAGCTAATGAGTAAAAGGTAAAAGACTGGAAACTTAATCACAAGCAGGTAGGGATGATGGTTTAATCATGTGACCAGAGAGCCACTGGTGCATTCGTCCTGAACATAATGTAGCCATACTCTTTTTTTTTTTTTAGCTCCCCAGTATATTCTTCTGTGCTCTATAGTTTAAACTGTGGATGCACAATAACATGAAGCATTGATATGACACAAAGACAACTTCTCATATTGTTGAACTTTGTTGCAATGTAGTCATTTCAGATCTGAAAACTGACCGCAGCAGTTTTGTTCTGGCTGAAAACCCAACAACTGTTCACATTCTGGTTGTCAGATTAACTGAACGCCACATTAAAACACATTCTGTTTTGCTCTGCAGATGCGAGCCCACGTCAACTCCAGGTGGTTCCTTTTCAGAAAACATGTCGATAACCTCCTCCACTTCATCATGCCAAAGACAATAATTCCACTCTACACAATGGTAAGTGTCCTAATGAACAAAAGTAACCACATTGCATGATATGACTCTTCACTGTGTGTGTCTCTTTGATGTCTGCAGGTCACTTTCACCAGGACGAGGTACCATGAAGCCGTGCAGCGCTGGCACTGGCAAGACAAAGTAAGACCCTCTCTGTAATTTAATCTTTCTCTATTTCTGTTTACGTTCACCAGCCCATTTTATACCTTTGAAGATTTTAATTGAGTAAAGACTCTTTTGAAGTCGCACTATTATCAGCAGCGAGCATGAAAGGCGGATGTGACTCTCACTGGAGTAAACACTTCCCTTTTTAGAAACATTTGATTTATGCCAACACAAACACAGCGCTCTGCTGCACAATGGGCTGTTTGTCAGTTCACCAGTTTGCCTGCAGATGAGCCGGTCCGTCCTTGGCTCTGTGTTGAACTGTGTGATGTGACCTGTGCTAATGGTGCACAGTCAGAAGGATGGCAGGGATTTCACAGCCTCCCCTGCACTGTAGAAAACCCCTGAGGGTGTCTGGGAGGAATGACCTCTACGTGGGGAAAGTAGAACGGCCGAATGAAGCAGCATGTACCGTGGTAGAACATGGTTGTTCGAAATAAAGAAGTGGCACACTGACACTGAGGATTACTTAATAAAGGAGCAAATCTGCTCTTTCAGATCTTTTAGGCTTCATTTACCTCATTTTCTTTTGCATTATATAGTTGTACGATTTTACATAATGTAAGGGTGTGAGGAACTATTCTGTTTTTATGTGGAGCATTGAATAAACCACTCCCTCCAAGAGAAGGGGAGACATTGTTAACAAACTACTGAGAAGCAGAGCCGCTGCTTGTCCACAGGCAAAGCAGGCATTTGCTTGGGGCCCCAGGCCAGTAAGGGGGCCCCCAAAGGGCTGATACACTTTAAATCTCAGCAATGGCTCAAAATGAGCAAAGTTTGCAATGACAGTAGGAAACCCCCCTAAATGGCCCCATCTACCAGCACTATAGCCTATATAGTCTATATCCCTAAATATGGGGATGAGACACTTTTACCATATAACTTCCACAAAAAAAAAAAACTTGTTTTTGTCAGATTATTTATAACATAAATGTTGGTATTTATGTGGGAGGGGCCCCCTGTTCATTTTTGCCTAGGGCCCCAGCAGACTCCAGAATCACCACTGCTAAGAAGAGAGGTCTTTTGGATTCACACACTCAACACAGTTGGACTAAATGAGGAATTAAGCCACTCATGTTTTGTGTAGTGATGTTTATGTGACGTCTGATTTGTCTCTATAGAGAAACAGTCATCTTGTAAATATTGTATTGTAAATGTGATCACACTTTGGAGGGGATGTTGTATTTGATGGTTACATGTGAGTGCTGTCACAGTATTGGTTCACTGTCTGCTTACCTCCCACTTACCAACCAATGAGAGAAGACTTTCTGTGAGTAGGAGGGTATTTAGGTTTGACTCTGAGGAAGATGCGGAGCGTCCAAACATTAGACCTTTGCACCTGGATTCTGCCTGTGTGTGAAGGAGCTCTTTGAATTATTTTTCGATTGTTATTATGTGTGTTAAACTGAGAAAATTAATTCTTGTTTACCAAGATTTTTGTTAAATTTATATATTTTTTTCTCAGGTGATAAACCGGGGCTTGATGTGCAGCGCTGCTGGAGCTGTTCTGGGAGGTTCCTACCTGCTCATTAAAAATCCTCCTGACATCAACAAGCTCATCATGCCAGCTGAGAAAATGTGGAACAGGCTTCTGGCCCTCAGGACCGCCTGAGCGCCGTCTCTGATCTGACGGATAAAAAAATAAAGCATGGAACACCAGAAGGAACCGAGAGAGTCCAAACTTAAATTAGAGATTGATTCAGTCCTTAATGAACACAATGAAGGCTCCGCCAGGCAGATTAATGTGCTGTAATAATGGCTGTCATAACTTATCGCAGTCATCATGATTGATTATGAGATTTAAATTAGACTGGTCTAATTTAAGGTGCTGAAACACTGAAGATTTTCAGTCTTTCCATGTGATGTTTCTAGGCCACCCATCATCATTTGCACAATTCTGCTGTGAAACCAAAGTTATCAGTATTAAACTCATTGACAGAGACTATGCTCTGTATTCACCTGGGAGATGATTAAATCCAGTTTGTTGCAAATATATTTTCTCTCAGCTCACACTTCCTGTCCGTTTTCTTTTGTCAATTTGTTTCTAATCTTGTATAATCCATCCTGCCAAAAGTCTTACAGCCACTTTTAACTGTGAAAACAAGTCATCATCACCTTTAAATTGTGAAACTTGCAAGTAAGAAGTGACTAATTAGCACACCTAGCTACTGTTCATTTACTGTTACTGTCCTCTTGTGGTGGTTTTTCTGGTCCCAGCAAACTCTTGATGGAAAAGTCTGGAAATATTGAGAAGCCACATAAGCCCCGTTTCCACCAAGCGGTCCGGTTTGGTTCAGTACAGTTTGGTACAGTAAACCCTGATCTTGCTTGCGTTTCCACAGCCAACAGTACCCTTATTTGGTAAGCGGAGTGTAAGCCTGATGGAGATAGCCGCGTCAGCTATGTAATAGTGTGACATCATAGCAACCCAACACGGTGTAGCCCGCTATTAATTAAGTTCAACAAAGCAGAAGAATGGGACAAAGTAAACAAAAGGGACCCTTTAGGGTCGGATCCGTACCCTTGGCACCCCAACAGAAGGGTACCAAAAAAGTAGGACGCTACGGATCCCTTATTTTGGTACCATTCCTAACTTTTACGGTGGAAATGCCAATCAATGGGTACCGTACTGAACCGAACTGAACCAGACCACTTGGTGGAAACGGGGCTATAGTCCCTAGTTGTGACTGTATTCTGTTTAAGTATTGTCATCACCCAGCTCGTGGGTCATGGGTCAAAAGACAGAAGGAGTCAGAATTTTACCAAAAAATGAATAATTTATTTCAAAGCGAGTTAAATTAATCAATAACCAGAGTTCTGATGTGTGTTTCATCTGTATCATCAGTGGTGTAAGTGTGGGTAGGTATGAAAGCATTATGTGGTGTGAGGTGTTGAGGAGTGTACTAACATAAAGATCAAAAGAATCAACAAGCATCGGTCAGGCTGAGAGAGAGTGAATGAGGGAAACCAGCAGATCTTTGTAGGCCGTTGCAGCTGATCCTGCAGATGAGCCTCCAGCCAGGACACACCTCCTGCAGCAATTACACAGACAGACAAACAGCAGCAAGCCGAAGACTCTCCGCGGGTTAGATTGACCGTGAGATTATTGGGCCGATTGCTTCAGCGTCGGCCGTATTGTAGGGGGTCGTTGTTCTGGACCATTGTGGTGAAGATGGACCTGAGCCTGAAAGCAAAGCTCTCAAATCACAGGTCGATCTTTGTTCCAACCCTCACCTCTGGGCAGTGGCCGAAAGAATAAGATCGCGGACATGCTAGTTTCAGATCATCTTTAATACAGCATGATGTTTGACTGCAGTTGTAAACTTGAGTCACATTTAGTGAAAAGAGGAGAAAAGGTAGGCATGGTTTTCTTGTGATTGAGAAGCAGATACGAAAGTGGTCTTGATCCATTTCAGGAGCTGACTGTCATTCATTTGGTAAATTCATTCTGTTCAAACTGCTTTTGCCAGCCAAAACTAGCATCCCTAATAATCTGTTGGATACTGTCAATTAAAGGTACACATTTCTAACCATTCTAGCTCTAGGGTTGGTGATACCTTTTCTTCTCCATGGCTAGTTCTGGCTCAAGAAGTCTAAAATGGCAAAGGCCAATTCAACAAAATCAGTGGCTACATCCACTTTTTCTGAGCAAAGAAAAACACATTAACTTCATGAAAAGGTTTCGGCGTACATTCGCTGATTAAAAGCCTTTTTTTTTTTTTAAAACGGTACCTAAAGAATCTCTAAGAACCCTGATTCAAAGCAAGGCACTAGTTCCAGTGTTCATACTATGCTAAACTAAGAGTCTCTAGGGACTTTGGAGCATTTTGCCTTGGAAGGAAGCAAATAAGAGTATTTTCCATAACACCAAACTATGCAGTGACCAAGTGATATTAATACAAGGTGTGCTGGGTCACATGGTCACTGAATGAGGGTTTTATCAGCATGGAAATCAATTCATCACATCTATTCAGAGCTGACAGCCCAGGAGGTTATGAGAGGAGTGTCTCACAGGAGCCTCCCGAGGTCCCTTTCTCATCTCCTCTTATCTAATTACACTCTGCTCGTCCTCATACATATAAATCCACCAAATGTCTTTCCACACCGACTGCTCGTCACACTGCACACAAAGATGGAAGTGGGATAAACACACAAGACAGATACCTTAAAATAGCTTCTCTTTATTGAATCCATACATGATCAGGTCAGTTTGTGTATCATGGTGTATGGCTAAGGAGCTAAGGCTTTATTTTATAGTTGGGTACCAACCAAAATCGTCTGATCCATATCACAGCTGGCCTCTAAAGACGCAGCTGTGCAGATGTCCTGTGTGGTATAATAACACATAAGTGTGATCCTTTTTCTAAGAGAAACATATGAGTTGTTACCACAGCATCATATACTTGTATCACCACAGCTGATGTTGGAAGGTATGTCACCCTCATACTACCTGCTTACATAAAACACTGTCAGGAAAAAGGTTTAGTGGAGATCCTGGGTTGACAGTCGATTATTGACTGTTGGTGCTGAAGCTGCGATCAGACCAAAGCGAAGTAAATTTTCTTTCTACTTGCTTGAGGGTTAAATTATATTTATTTGCCTCGATTTAAAAACAACCAACAATAACCTTTTAAATGTGTTGGATAACTGAAAAGAGTCATGACTGGTTTCATAATATTCTGCACACAGCTCGCTAAATTCTTATGGCCATTTCCAGTAACTGTAGCTGCGTCTCAAAGCAGCGGCTGCATCCTTGGTAAGGGTGCATTTGAAGACCGGTTGTGTCAAAGAGGCTGCACATTTCAACTCCTACTTCTGCTGGGGCCACGAGGATGCATCCTGTGCAATCCTTGTGAACCAAAACATCCAGAGACGCCTTCCATGCCAATTAAATGTTTTTTTTTTTAAAAGTCAGACCATCAAACGGCAGAATATTACACTTTTATATGTCAATTAATTATTTAAGTTTAGTCAAAAATCAAGCAAAACAAATGATAAAAACAGACAAGGCCGTGAAACTTTAAATTATATTTAAATTGATAGATTAGTCAGTTATGTTAGCTAGTTCTGGTGCAGCTTTTGTGGTTGCTAGGCGACAGGAGCGGCTCTTAGGGACCAAAAGGAAAATCCTCCGTAGACCGCCAGAGTGATCCATATTCAGACTTCAAGAGCTGGGTAAAGACACTGAACCTCGAATTGTTCCCGCTGCAGCGGTGTGTGAATGGAGTAATATTGTTGGCCGGTTGGTCACTTTACGTAGCAGCCTCCTCCATCAGTGGGTGAATTTTAAGTGTTGTGTGAAGTGCTTTGAGTAGTCAGAAGACAAGAAAAGTGCTATACAAGTCCAAGTCAATTTATCATAAAAGGCTGGAGAACACCTGTCCATTTAAATTCAGGCAGTTCATTGTATGAAGCAAGTCACATGACCGCTAAAATCCCTCTAACAGGGCATTATGAACCCAAAGGAAACAGATGTTGTGTTTTCTTAGCAATTATCAGACAGAGGGGATGCTGAATCAACATCATTATCAGGTACGGATGATATAAACAGGCCAGCAGGGCTAAGCCCTCCCTTTCTTATACAATACAGAAGAAAACAATATATTCAAATAACTTACAACAGGTGGTTTTAAAGTTTAACCACACCTAATGTTAAATAAAAATAATTAAATACTCAGAGGTGCTGTGAAACTGTGCCTACTAACAGCATCAAAAACATGACTGTGATTCGGTACTGGAGGAAATTTCGAAGAAAAAATGGCAGAGGAGATACCTGCACAACAATTTTGACTGGGTTAAAAATCCACAAAAAGTCCACAGACTGAGATAAATGCAAAATAGCCTCTTTAATTAAGACACAAGTCGTCAAAACAGTAATAGTTAGTTGGTTGTCATAACTTATCGCAGTCATTATGACTGATAATAACATTTCAATTAGACTGGTCTAATTGAAGGTGCTGAAACACTGAAGATTTTCAGTCTTTCCATGTGATGTACAGGCAAAAAGGAGAATAAAAACATGATCAAACGTCTCAGTCCTTGCAGCAGGGATTATAGTCTAGAACTGAAACTGAAGATTCTATTTTTATTCACCTTTTTGTGGCTTTTTAGCACAGGTGAATTTCTGTGTTGGTAACTCCTCTGCTATTTTAACAAAAAGCACACACAATATCACTAATAATTTACCGCCTAAACACTGTAGCATCCTCTCCCATTCACTCCTGTGGTGGAAATGAGTGACTGGTGTCATGGAACGACCGCTTGGATTGATGATCATTTGTGCTTCATTTGTTAAGCCCACCGACTTTTGACCAGACACAACTATAGCTGTGCAGACCTTCGAGATGCTACCAAATGGACTAAAAAAAAGATAGTTTCTTAAGTTAAAATTACAGCGCTCTCAATGCTACTTCTGTTAGCCCAAATATTGTTAGCATGAACAACTGTGTACGTCATTTCATGCTTCAAAAATTCTCTTTGCTTTTTGTCTGAATGCATCTTAACAATCACCTACACATGTGTAGACGCAGAAATGTCCAGAGAGGTCACGTAAGGTCATTTTGGCTTGGAACTGTATGTAAGGTCCTAAGGCAAACAGAGTGGTGGAGGTTTGGGTGGGCGGTCCAGTCTTTGTGGATCACAACGGCCTCACTTGGATGACATTAACCTTGCTGGACTCTGCAGCCTTGGAGGTTACATCCATCTGATCGAAGTCATGGCTGGTGATGATGAAGACGATGGAGGAGGAGCTGAAAGTCACCCTCTTTTTGGGTCGGTCCCTGCTGCCGTACTGCCTCGACACCACGATGGGTCGGATGGGACGCTCGACAGGAGCTAGGGGGCGCTCTTTGAGGCTGCGCTGCAACCAAGAGAACCGCGAGCAGAGCAGCTGTGACAAGCAGCGGCGGAACTGTGAAAAACAAAAGAAAGAGGATACAAGGGATGAAATATCACCTTTTGTTTAATCGCTCTACTGTACCTCACACAGACACACACACACACACACACACACACACACACACACACACACACACAAGGCACCAGCCTCTGAGGATGCCAGGGACAACCATCCTCCTACACACATGAAAACTGCACATATTAAGGTGCTGAAAATTGAAGTAAAAAAATACTAAGATGAGGATGGTACTCTCAGTTTGAAATAGATCCTATATTTATGAAGAAATTGGGCTTTTGGGAAATTAAGTTCTGAACATCTCTGTGTAGGACAGATCCCCAAAATGCCAATAAAGAAACCATCTTTCATTGACAAATACTGAAGCACTCCTCCTGCTCAAAATGCAGCAGCACAAAACCATGGCCCACGATTGAGAAGTCATTGATTTGCCCTATTTGTCCACAGAGAGTTCAGCTTTGGCCACTGGAGGGGAAAGAAATCGACTGAACCCCAGGATGAGGCCAATTACGACTCCCCAATGAAATATATTGTGCTTTAGACTGCAGCAAAACTTTAGCCCGGCGATGCTTAAACTAATGCCAACCTCATCCTTCACTGAAAGTTCATCAAACTTTAAAGTTATGTACAGAGCCACAGGGCTACAAACCTTTCTGCTCATGAACACGTAGATGAGCGGGTTGTAGAACGTGCTGGACTTGGCAAAGAAAGAGGGGATGATGGCCAGGGTGGGAGAGACCATGCTCTTCCTGCCGAAGGCCTCCATCATGGAGACGACAGCATAGGGCGTCCAGCACACCAGAAAGCAGGAGATCATCAGGAAAAACATGACAGCTATCTTCTTCTCGTACCGCAGGATCTTGATGATCTGGACCGTCTGCAGGTCCTGAATGGAACGCAGCTGCAAGAAACAGGAGAGAGAAATTTGTAACCATGAGCGGGAAACTGGGCTGACAAAGACAGGCTTTTAGACTGTCATTAAAACCAGTGATTGTCGAAGACGGAAACAACTAACAAGACGTAAAAATTCAGTCTTACAAAAAATGGAAGAAGCTTGTGTGTTGCTGCCAACACCATCAAAACAAATGTCATGCTACACAGGGGTACCACAAAGCTCAATAATATTCATTTAAATTTGAAAGGCAACGCAAAGAATAGAGGGACTGTTAACGCATCAAGGTTAGGGCAATTAGAAATTCATATTTTCAGTTGAAAAAAGGTCACAATTTTCTGTTGCAGTCCTTATATAGTAACACTTAAGACCCTTGTTTAAAAGAGCAATATGTAACTCTGACACCTAGCGTTTAAAATAGGTACTGCAGTCCAACTACAAAACATTGTAGAGAGCTGTCTCCCCCTGCCCCCTCCTCTCTAGAGTCAATGCTCACACAGGTCACCATGTGGTGGACTCTGAAGCTTCAGTGTTTATCCAGCTCTGCATCGGTCTGTAAAACTTTCTGTGTTCTAACCTTTCTCCATTTTTCAAAAGCATCTCCAACATTGATCCTAGTTTGAGAACGTTTCTGCTCGTGGAGCTGAACCACTTCTCTTACCCGCTTCCATCGCTGCAACACCTGTTGGTTTGCCATTGGCCTGGAAAACCGAGGGGCATCCAAAATGGCCGTGTGGAGTACCCTACCAACCACCTACCTTCTCTGGTCCAAACAAATCCAGAGCATTCAGGACCAGAATCTAAAGTTAGAAGGAGGACATACTGGCTGCTGCATTGTTGTTGTCAGTAAGGTTATTTATGTGTGAGGTCACCCTAACCCTAACCCATTTAAATCAGGACATGTCTTACTGATTGGACTTTTAAAGTAGCTTTTGTGAAACAGGGAGACTATTCATTAAGAATGTTTCTAAGACCTTGAATGTGTTTATAATGTATTAAGCTTTGAAGGTAAAGTTTTATATTTAATTATTTTCTTAGCCTTGGTTTGTGAAAGTCTCGTAGAACAATGCAGTAATACCTCGACAACAGACTCTGTAGGTAAGCTCATATCCTTCAGCTGAAGTGATGAGATGATAAAGTTTCTATTTCAGTTTCCTAGACTCCCTCAGGACAGTCTACAGCAGCTGACTGAATCAATGAAAGTTTTTATTTGTATTCAAGAAGTCACAGGTTCTTTTTTTATTGATGTGCTACAGTCCTTATGAAATACTTTCCATTTTAGTGTTCCACTTTTTTCAGGTTCAAACTGGTCCACAGTTAGATTTTCAGCCAGGGCAGTATCATACTACAGCTCTTCTCTTTATTGATCAATATTGATATTTTTCATTTTGCATTATTTAATTATGTTGCCAGTTTGAGGATAATCCTGATAACTATGGAAGTCTAAAACAACCAGATTTAGTTAAACTTTAGTGGTTAGTTTATTAACATGCACCAAAGTTTTCCTTTGGTGATCTCAAACATGTACAAAGCTGGCACCAAAACGTCCCTAAATTTCAAGTTGAGCTGCATGTGAACGCAAACACACACATTTTCCACTGACGTCTATCAGGGTTACCCGATTTCAGAGCGGCAGGCCAAATATATCCTGCATCGGGTGCATCTGGTGGTCTGTTTAGAGCCGACTGGTGTAATCATTTGTTCTCTGTCCTCCAGTTTAGTCTTCTCCGCTCTTTCGGGGAACTACACGAAGCAATGATGGAAAAAAACGGTCATTAAAGTGTCCACCACTTTCGCACTGTTCTTTTTAGGTCATGTACGGCCTCCTGAAACCCCCCCTCCCACCCCCACACACACAGCCTCCTGCTCTGAAACGCATGTGTGAACAAGCAATTCAGGAAGATTTAAGGGGCAGCCTGTCTGAAATCTTGAGGGAAATTTTCAGTGCATATGCATTAGAGGTGGGAAGAAAAATCGATTTACGTAAAAATCAAGATTCTTATCTTCTGAGATTTTAAATCGATTTAAAACTTCCCAAAAAATGTTTTTGGACTAATCAGTCACTTCCTGCTAAGTGCTAATGCTAGCTATTTAACTCAGTAGAATGCCAAATGGAGCAGCAAGAAATTCAGCCAGTCTCACAGATGACTGGAGTAGATCCTGAAGTATATGTACTCATTCAAAAATAGACTTTGAATCATGAATCCAGAATCGTTTAAAATCGTTAATAGATTCTGAATCGAATCTTGACCCCAAGAAATCGAATCATGATCACCCAAAGATTTACAGCCCTAAAATGCATAATTCCCTGCCCATCTTGTTACATTCTTCGGACTCTGTTGAGTCTTTCAAAAAGCAGCTAAAATGTTGATGTTTAGACAGGCCTATGGGTAATCATGTCCATTCAGTCTACCAGTTGATCCATGTTTTACTGTGCCAATTATTGTTCCTGGTCATAGCTGGTTTTATAATGTTGGTCCATGAACTACTCGTTTGTTCCTGTTTTATTAAAGATTTGTTGTTTTTTGTTGCTGTAAAGCACTTTGTGAGCCTAGTACATTAGTCCATGTGCTTTATAAATAAAATGTACTTACTTGTTGAAGGAATGATTGTAGCTTCTCCAAACTGATGAAGACAGAAATCTGGGTCATTGGTTTAAAATTGTGTGTATTTTTTTTCTCATTCACACATTTGCTCACATACTATCCTGTCCAAACATTTGAGTGGCCATCTGCTCCACAGCCACAAACAGATTAGAGCATTTTTTTGGCTGAAGATAAACTTTCATCTGTGTTCGTTGCAGAAATCATTAACACAAGCCTGTATACATTTAGTCAATACGACCAGACTGTTTCTGCAGCTGATGACGTTTTAAAAGGCTGCACGTCTGAGGCTCAGTACAGACACAAACTACAATGAGCTTTCCAATTATTCCCACTTTACATAATGAGCACTAAAGGTGCGGAAGTATATCATGATAATGGAGGGCCAAATAAAAAAGGAGTGAAGGTTAGCACTTTGCCAGAGAGGGTCAAGGATGTTTCATTAAAATGAAACACCCAGAGGCCTCTGAATCTACACCGTCTTTTGTCCAAAGTAACAAGATCCAGAGTCTATTCTACTCACATCTTGTACTTTATTTCACAACTGTAATGAGGTAAGATTACATTTTCTGAAAGAATATGTTCAAGGGCTCGGTGCTAAAGACAAGTCAAAGTGCTGAAAGCAGTTCAGAGTGAGGTGATAAGTAAACTGAACTGGAAGTTAGCTGGAGTGGAAATAAATTGATGCCACTTTTCAACTATAAAAGATAAAGGCAGTCAGAGCGTGAGTGTGAGCTGAGACCTGAGAGGGTGTGAATTGTCGTTTAAAGCTGTTTTTATGACCTTTGGAGGAAGCAGAAAATGTAAGATAGTATTTGAAAGTATCCAGCCGGTGATTTATCAAAAGCTATTATCTGCTAAAACTCAAATCTTAGAAAGTGTGCACGCGTCTTTCTTGTCAAACAAGACTTCACTTTTTATAAGCCACATTCACCTGATGAGTCCTGGTAAACATCTTATTTTAAGGTAAAGGGTAAATGGACTTGAGCTTCTATAGTCCCTTTCTAGTGTTCAGACTTAAACTTCAGCTCATATCCATCCATTCACACTAAATTCACACACTGATGGCAGAGGCTGCTGTTTGAAGTGCCATCATTAACTAAACTAATCCATTTATACACATTCACACGCTGATGAAGCAGCAGGAGCAATTTGGAGTTAAGTGTCTTGCCCAAGGACACATTAGACATGTGGAGGAGCTGGGGATCAAACCCCTGACCCTCTTGTTGACAGACGACTGACTCGACCTCTGAGCCACAGCTTTATACAAAGTAAACCAAAGAAAAACTTGTTAAGTGTCTGGAAATGAGTTGTGTTATCTTTTTTAAGTATATACATGTTATTTCAAGAAAAACTAAACTCAGCTTGATGCACAGCACGCAGTTTTACTCATTACTTTGTTTTTGCTTTTAATATATTCTGCATTTATGTTGGTAATAGGAATATGTCAATCTATACGTATCATAGCGTGTTGTGTCATCCACCAACTTTCCCATTGTTCTTTATACGTCATGTACTACCTCCTGAGAAGCTCAGACGTTTATGTATTTATTCAGTTTTTGCTCGTAGTAGGAACACAACATTCAGTTTTCCTTGTCATCCTTGTTTACTTCCCAGATTTGCATCAGCAGCAGCCGCCCTCCATTCATGAATCTGTGTGATTCATTCTGTTTATTCGTCTAACTCATAACTTGTAAAGTATGCAAAAACAGAAGAAAAAGCATGTCTTACCATTTGCACAGTGTAGAGGATGTTCCCATAGCAGTAGATCATGATTCCCACAGGCACAAAGAAGCAGGCCAGGAGGAAGAGGAGGATGAAGGAGGCATCATTTGGGTCTTTAGATGCCCAGTCCAGCGAGCAGCCCAGCCGATGGATCTCCAGCTTGTAGCGGTTCCACCCCAGCAGCGGAGCCCCCGTCCAGGCCAGGGAGTACAGCCAGATGTGGGCCATGGCCCGCCACGCCCAGGGGAAGTCCACCACCTGCGCATGGACCACCCGGATGTAGCGCTCATAGGCCAGGGCCGCCAGAGTCATGATGGAAACAATGCCTGGCAACAGGAGAGGTGGGGGGAGACGGACACACAGACACGCTGAGTAATGCAGAGCGATAAGTGCAGGATCTGGGTCAGTGGCTACTCAGCATCTATTTGGACTCAATGAGCTTCATCATGCATTCTGAACATCGCATTAAAGCATTTTGTCATGAATCCTTGAAACCTTTGAGACACTTTACACCCACACAAACACACACACACACACACACACACACACACTTCTGAGACCTGCATCATGCTTTTCTGCACTCAAGTTAAGTGTTTATAAACTAATGGCGAATGCAATTTATATTAAAGTATTTGCATTTTTTATGTTCTTCTAGTGCATCAAAGATCACATTTGCAAGCCTGAGTCATGTTACACCGCCCAAAATCAATTTTGCATCTCGTATCCTATCGATTCATCCAACGACAATCATCCAATACCCTTAATTCATTCTTCTCTTGATTAGAGGGAGAAACAAAAGGGCCTCTGAACAGACTCTGTGCAGTGACTCGTTTTAGCTCCCCTGCTCGGGTTTCACGAGGACGGACAGGCATTGACAGAACTGCCAGGGCTCGTTGCTGCAGTCCCTGTGGCCAGCGTGTCGGGCACACTGACACCAACCTCCTCTGAGTAATACATATAACAGGATGACGACACATCCCTGCAGAGGACTAGAGGACACAGATAAGAGCTATGGGATTCTTTTTTTTACACTGTCAAGCTGTGGAGCTGAACATGAGCTGAGTATTATAACATAAAAAGTTAAGCAATTTGCATCAATATTTATCTTGATATTTAATTCAATAAGGCTGTTAAGTTAAAGGGTATCCTGACTACGACAGAGGACTGAAGACCAGATTGTACATTATTTAAACTCTCTACATTTATTAATGAACACTTAAGTTATTTATCACATATTTATGAGACTTGATTGTATTTGTTTGGAGAAATTATCAATAAAACCTGTAGAAACATCAAGTGAAGAACTGAAAAGTTCAAGTTAACAATGTTAGCTGAACTTTAAGGTCAGGATTCCTTTAGCTTTAACTCCAAGTATGAATCATTTTTGTGGTGGCGGCCATGACATACGCTACATGTTTTTCATAGTCATGGAAACATGATGTTACACCAAAGACCGCTGAATAAGGGAATGTGAAAAGCTACTGAAAGCTGCCTTACTGTTGCTGTATGTGCCGCTGTGGTAAAAACATCATGTAAATTATATATTTGATACATTAGCTTGTTGGTAAACATATTCTCTTCCTCAGGTTGGTTTTTCTCGTTCATTTTGACTAATGGTCAACTCAGAGTTTGTTTTCATCGGGATGGGGATGGAGTAGCAAATAAAAATCACTCCCATGATTCCCCCACCAGCCTCGATGTCATCTTTTGTTATTGTTTGGAGAGTCGCCTGGTGGCCACATTTACGTTCAGTACCTTTAAAAGTAGCGCTGGATGTGCCCCTAGTTTACAATAAATTAGCCCTGTAATTGAAGCAGATTAAATCATGAACAAACCAGTATTCATGTTCTCTGACAGGGCTTAAAGCAACAAGAACTAGGAATTTGGTTTGGTGCGCTTTGGCACCCACCGAAGGTCTCCAGAGTTACATACTGCAGGAAACAGGTGATTGGGCCGCTCTGTGGACATGGGGGAGATGCCATTTTCCCTGTTGACAGTTATTTTGTTTTAAATTGACCTTTGAAACTATTATTTAAAGGTGTAACAGTTACATATTGTTGCTTTAAGGGGCTACGTACCAAGCTGCTACTGCTAACATGAGCTTTTTCTGTTCTTTCTTAACTTACGGATATAACCTTCATCTGTTTACAAGACACAGTTACAAAAAACTAAGATCTAAAGGGTCAAGGTGACAAAACTTGCAATGTAAGAAAATAGTTGGTTGCAACTGTTTGAATGTTGAGCATTAAAGCTAAAAACTGCAGACTGACTGGCTTTAGTTTTGTCAAATGCTGCTGTGTTTTCACCATTACGTATCTGGATTGTTTAGGCACTCGGCCCTTTCCCAAATCATGACATCATGGTCTGTGTGACCTTGGGGGTTTCAACAGGATATAAAATGTCACACAGTACATGTGAGCTTATTATCTAAGCTGCTGTAGAGCACCATGAACGACGAGGGAGAGGCAGGAGAGTCCTCAGGATGAGCAGAAACTGAAATTGGAATCTAAATCATCTGCCAGGCTAATCAGAGTGAGGGCCAAGAAACCACATCCTTTCAGTCTCAATGTAAACAAAGAAAGAAGGCATTCCCACGTCTTTGGATTAAAATAAATTTTCGATCAACATTAAAAAGATCAACACAGTAGAAATGAAACCTGATCAACACAGTCAGTGTTGCAGTGTGGTGATGCTGTACATGAATACATGTTCTTTAGATCATGATGTCCACAGATGATTACGGGACATTCTAATGTGTGTAGTTTGCTGATATAGTAGCAAACGCCTGGAGGGTTTTACTCTAATGAGCTCATTATCACACCCCCGTCCTCCTGAGCTTTATTTCCTGCAGGGTGGGACCTGAAGTGTGACCCTGACTGTTCATTCACATCGTTGCAGCTCTACACAGTTAAGCTGACAATAAAAAGGACAATTATCTTACAGTAAAATGTGACAAAACCACTCTCTGCATAATGCAACTATACCTGCAGAAAGACCTCACTTTGAATAAAAAAACACTTAAAGACGAGAGAAGAAAATGTTCAGTAATGGGAAAAGAATTCAAGGTCGTTTGTTTGATGTCACAGTTTACCAGGAGAAAGGGACAGAGGTGTGCACAAAGTGATGTTCGACTGTTACCTCCATTTGAATGCAATTTTTTTTATTATTTTGGATACCCATTTAACATGCAGTTATCTACACATCCAAGCTTTCTGCATAATTGTATGGATATGCTTTTATTCTAAATAAGGCTGAGACTTTACATTTTTCATCTTTAGTCAAAAATTAATTACTTTGGGCTTATTAAACAGTTTTATAGTCTGCAGAAGAAGATAACTGTACAGGAAACTCCAGTATAATGAATTGAGACATGTATGATAAATATGACTTATAGTCTAGTGAAATGAACAACAACAGAGTAATGATTTGATGTTTGAGATGTATGATGTATGAATTTAATTAGGACACTTTAACTGTTTAACTGCTCTGACAGTATAGGTAGGTTTATTAAATTAAGCAGCCTCTAATAAATAGTGAAAGTTTATGCAAATTTAAATAGAAAGAAAGTCATTATAATTGTTCAATCAATTTTAACATACAGGCTACTGTCGTATAATCGATATTATAGCATTTTTATGTGGCAGTGAAGCTTCTTTAATAAATAAAGAATGAATACATCTGACATGAATGTTGGTTTTAATAAATAAATAGAGTTTGTGGGTCCTCACCGAACAGGCTGTTGCTGAAGCCGTCCCACACGCATGTCGCCGGGCTCCACTTCCATCCGCCTTGGACGCACGCAGCAAAGGTAAAGTTTATTCCGATGACAGAAACGAGCAGGTCGCTCACACTGATATTGACCAGCAGCAGGTTTGTGGGTGTGCGGAGCCGCTTGAATTTACAGTACAGGATGATGACCACCACGTTGTTACAGAAGCCGAACACTCCGATGGTGCCGATGGTCAGAGCCAGAAGTTTGTAGGTTCCAGCTGCAAAAAGGTGATGATCCGAGTCCACACTTCTCCCGACTCTGCTCTCGTTTGCGGGATTCATTGCGTGGATGAAAACTTGGGCTCCGGCATTGTGCTCTGCGCGTGGAGTGAGGGCGCGCGTCCTGGACACGAGACAGTCTGCACAAGCTTTCCACTCCACCACGCGCTCCCCGCGCCGCTCATTCAAACCAGCTTACGACTGCTGTTTCTCCAAACTGGGTCAATGAACCACTGTCAGCTCCACGATCGATACACGTCATATTTCCGACTTCACTTTCAGAATAAAACACTTTTTGACCTAAATCCTAAATTATTAGCCACAATTGTTTGAACCCTGTTTTGGAGCTGTGATCCACATATGATTAAAGGATTAGCTGAGCTACAGTTTCCTGTAGCCAGCTGATAGTTCAAATGTAATTATATTTTCACTATGTTTCAACCCTTTCCTATGTTATTTGTGCCCTTGACTAACATTTCAAACATTGTAACACCTAACACCCGCTGTCCCCCCTCCCATATGCAGGAGTGTGTCTAGACTTTTGGGACTGGGGTGGCCCAACTGGGGCACTGACTTGTGCAGGGGTCACTTATACACACACATAAGTGAAGAGCATTTATTTGCTGTATGCATCTTCTGATCTTAATTAATCAAGTACTCAAACAATTTGTACGTCCAATGTCAAAACTGTTAACAAGTCTTTCAAAAATTCAAACCAAAAGTCAAACCTCTTGCAAGGCAAATAGCCAATAATAGTCAAGGACTTTGGGTAGCACCTGGGCTGGCCAATAATATTCCATAATCCTATACCACCACTGGCCACCCCTCTGGCCACGCACCTGTCCAGAGGGGTCCAGGGTATGTATAACCTTTATTAACCTGCACAAAATGTTACCCCCACAGAGATCAAAATTAAACCTAAACAAAGAAAATCTAACCTATGCAGTAATAGGAATAATAAAAAAAACAACATGCATAATTAAAGGTGTAATTTTGCTAATGTATTATTTATCAAGACTAACATTAAAATGTCTACCACGAGGCTGTCTCTTTGAAACTGAAGTGCAGCTGCAAAATGCTTTCTGTCCATCAGGTGTGGTCCACTGCTTTCCCCCCTGCCATAACAGAGAGGTGTTACACGTGCTATGGCCAGGGGGACAGACGAGTTCCTCAGTCTAATAGAGCAGAGAGCAGAGTGAGCACATTTGATCAGTTACGGGACCTTTTAATGTCAAGCTGTAGGCCTATCTGAAATCCTGAACAAGTGAGCACTTCTTGCATAAAGACTTCTCTCCTCCTGCTCTCGGGTCTCAAAGGAAAGTCATTCTTTCACTTATGAAGATTTATTTTCTTTCTGACTTTGAAAATCCTAAACAGGGCGTTTGGAGGCTCCAAATTATATATTTGTGGTCATGAATTGGGAGCAACTGGGCACTTCTTGCTTAATATGTTGGGTTTTCTGTTACTAGTTCATTTTCGCTGCTTTCTCAAGCTCTCAGCTTGGCTGATAGTGAAGGACTGAAACATAGGTTTGAAATGTCAAGAGTGTTTACATTAAATTCCTCTTCAGAGATGCCTTGCAATCATCAAGTCACATCCCAACTCAGCAGATGCTCAGCCTCACATGCAAATGGCGCCACATGACGATAGCAGCAGCTGATGGTGTAGTGTGTCTGCACCCTCAGTGACATTTAGAGGTGCTCAGTGACAGAAATGTCACTTTGTTGAAATGTCTGATTTCTGCAGTGACATTGTTTTTGTGTCTGACCTCATTTCTCATTGCCTTCAGGTTGATCCAAAATAGCAGGTCTCTCTCTCGCCAACAAATCAAGAGATGAGTGTGTGCGCTTGAGATGAGCATGACACACACACATACACACACACACACACACACACACACACTTGAGGAATGGTTAATTCTGCTGGCGCCCGTCCACTGACGCACTTGCGATGTTGTCAGGTATTTATTTCATGGCTGAAGACTCATGTTGATATAAATGCAATGTCTGATGCTTGCTGTATGGATAAGTGAAAATAAATGTTCTCAGTTTTTCTGAAAGGCATAGTGAAAGGACGCCATGAGCACGTTAGTTTCATTTGCCTGGAACATGTCGTCACACATCATTGTATCAGTTTCTTATGATTAATATTAACATCTCAGTGCAAGCACAAATTGTTGCATTTGCACCACATTGATCTGTCTTGGATGCTACATGTTTTATTGACAAGCAATCCTCTAAATCGAAGTCTGTATATTTCTGTGCACACAAACAGCAACCACCAGGAGCAAGAGCAGAAGGGCCAAAGACCTGCAGTTCCTCTTGCAGCCATTTGGGGCTGGCTCTAAAAGTGAGTGAGTCTTAATAGAGCCCAATGCAAAACTTTACACCAAAGTAAAAACATGTCCAGACCAAAAAACAGTTTTGGACTCTATGGCTAAATTCTCTATTAGTGACGCAGCAGTGTCAGTAAATCAGAATGTTGTCATAGAGACAGGACAGACAGCCAGTGCTTTTGTTGCCGGGAAAAACGCTAGGTGGACACGGGGCCTAGGTCTGGCTCTAAAAGCCATGAAAGGCACATACACACCCATGTTACAATGCCCACTTTGACAGTGGAAATGAACATGCTTAGACTACAGCTTGGTACAGTTTTATTTATTGATTTTTGTTTTGTTTTATTGGTGATGATATAACATAAGAGGAGAAAAAGTGACTTTGAGGGCAAAGAAAGAGAGGCACTCAAACGCAGTGCAGACACAAACAGTAAACGGTTTTGATGATACAATGAGTAGAAGAACAAATTACAGCAGAAAAAAAATATTTTTGTCTGAATAGGTAATCTCTTTATTGGCAAAAAATCTATATATCGATCTATATTGAGATGAAGTAAACCTGTATAGATTTAACTCAAACCATTGTCTTTCCAACATTTATTACTGCCTTGGCAGAAAATGTTTTCTTTGATTTTGTAAAGCAGTCCCAGCATTATTAGATGTTATAATATTAGAATAGTGTTCATGTTGTGATACAGCTTATACAAAGCTATGTGATTATGTTTGTGACAGAAAAAGGCCACTTAAACACTAATTACAATCAAAGCTGTGGTAATTATATCTCAGGGACGGCATATGCTCAGAGATTACCTTTAATAAGACTCCACTCAACAGATCCTATCATGTTCATTGTTACTAATTTAAATGAGAGAGAGAGAGAGAGAGAGAGAGAGAGAGAGAGAGAGAGAGAGAGAGAGAGAGCAAAATTGGAGGAGAGAGAGAGGAAGGGAGGGAATGGATGCTTTGATTGGATGTTTGACCTAGTTACTGAAACCCTGACCAGAGATAAAAAGCATAAGGGGACTTATGCTTATGCATTCTTGCGTCAGCAGCAGAGGCTAATGAACTGGTTAAAAGGTCCCATATTATGCATTTTCTGGTTGTATATGCTCTTTAGTGTGTTTTCCAAGTGTCCTGTGCATGTTTAGGCACATCTATGTGCAAAAATTCAAAGTCCGCGGAAACGCAGCTTCTCCTACCTCCTCCTGTTAGCTGTAGCATTAGCTGCATGTAACGCTCGGTTCTAGCCCCCCTCGATAAAAATTTGTCAGTGCGGCTTCATTGTCAGTGTGAGATCACTGATCTAAGCCCATTGGCTCGTTGTGACAAGCCCTGCAGCTCATGTTTAAATTTCCGAGACGCGTGCTGAGAAACTGACCAATAACGACAGAGCGGATCAGCAGACCAATCAGAGCAGAATTGGCCCACGTGGGGTCTAACAGTGTGGGCTTAAAGTTATAGTTTTTTCTGTGTATGTGTGAAAACAAACTGGAGGGAAGATACTGTGGGTTTAGAGGTTCTGATTGTAAATGATCCTTGGCACTGTAGGAAAACTTTGAGGCAACAAAAACTAGCCAATCACAGCACAGTCTAGCTGTTTGTCTGTAAAGTGTTGACTCTGTGAAGCCAGCAGAATCCACCTTCTTTTTCGTAAGCCAAGTGGCAACCTCCAGAGTGGGGGAGGGGGAGGGGGGTTTAACTTGTCAGATTGAGTTATTATCGAGGTTGAGCGTGTTGCAGCTGTTTGTCAGGAGGCCTAAAGTTTTCTGCTCTACAAGCACATGGGCAGCCCTCCCCTGGCAACCCTGCAGCATTCTGCCCACTGGAAGGCCTCAGCAGAGCTGGCCAATCAGAGGAAAGTGGGCACGTGGGGAGGGGGCCTTAAAGAGACAGTAGCTGAAACAAACGGTTTCAGGCATATGCTAAATGAGGGATTTTACTGGCTCCATTAAAAGATGAATACGGTTTTTTTTTTAGCTGCAATTTATGCAAAGGTTTCACAGACTGACAACATGAAAGGTGAGAATAAGAATATGGGATCTTTAATGCTGGCCTCAGCTCCAGGTCTTAGCCTGGTGTTAGGTTGGCTGAAAGTTAGGTTGAGACAACGTTTCCAACATGGCACCACCATCGCAAGCTTCCAAAGCCCCCTGCAGTAACCAATGGCTTGTGTCAATCAGGCCTCGTCAACATTTATTTATAGTCAATTTATTTATTTTTTACAAAGAACTCCCTCGGATATAGACATCCAACTGCATGTTTGTTATTAAATACACTTTTTATATTTAAAATTCTCTTCATGTTGATTGTTATGAACTATGGCTCTGGTTTTAGTCTCAGAGCACCAAAGTAGTCTTACATTTAGTTCACAGTTGTTGCTCTAACAGCTGGCACTTGCTTTATAAAAATAGTGCATTTGCCAAGAACCAGCTTGTCTGAAATAGCGGTGTCACATAATCCCATCTCTCATAAAACAGATTAACATAAATGAGAATATGAACCTGAAAGTCGAGGACAGAGAGACTGCTGTAGACACACAGTTTGATTTTAGCTTTTCACATCCATTCTTCCTCTTTTGTTTGTGCATTTTCTGAATATTTAATTTAAGCTGTAGAAGTCTTCTCTTCTCTCTTCGGATAGCGGCTGTCATTGTGATGATCACACACGACGGGTTTAGTGTTCAGCGATGGAGACGTTCATCGTTTCGTATCATCATCAGTCCTTCTCACTGTCACTGAGGAGCAGCTCAAGAACTGGCCAAAGGAGCTCAACTGTCTGTCTGCGGACTGACAGATGTGTGAATGTTTTAGTTTTTATCCTGCAGCAGTTTTGTCTCGGAGATGTAAAAGGAAACACTCAAGGTTATTATTGCAGGT